TTCTGATCTACAAAATAAATACAAATACAACTGTCAAATTTAAAAATGTCATTTTAATTGATACAATAAAAAATCATTTACCTCAGAAATAAATAATTCTGGCGTCTGATCGAAATACTTGAAATGTTTGAGAATAACAGTTTCTGATTCTAGTTCATCTGGATCATATTTGGCAGTATAAACAGTTCCATATCCACCACATCCAATCTCCTTAATTTCATAAAAACTCTCATATAATGTCATTAATATTTAGGAATTTGTCCAATACAGCATATGTGTCATAGTAGGACACCAAATAGTATTCTTTAGTAGATGATTCTTGTGTAATACCAGCAATCCAAATATTATCTGGGGTTAATATTTCTGGATGTTCTTTAGTCAGCTATTTAAAATATGGTGTTACAACAATGTCAATTAATGCATTTGAAACTTTGTGTTGTTACATATTAATATGAAATAGTTTACCTGATAAAAGTCAAATGATTGAGCATTCTGCCCACCAACTATTGGTTTGAGTATCACCTTTGTCAATTCTATTTCATCTACATCTGCTCTCAGTTGTAACCATTCTGCTACATGTGTGTATCCATGATGTAATGATGACATCTCTTGCATATTTGTCAATAAAGGATAATTTATCCATTGTATATAAGCATCATATATATTGAGCATATTATTCCATGATTCCATAATAAATAAATCCAGATGCTTGTTTCCACTTGTCCAATCAACAGGTATTGGTGCTTTACACAAATCACAGAATGTGCTTATCTTGTCATTTAATGGCAGTGTACATGCCAGACATAGTTTCCTCTCATATATGTCCTTTATTAGACAATACTTTAGTTTACTTGCATCATATGTGAGTCCAATAGTAGCCCAAACCTCTGGGTATGTGCTAGTACTAGAAATATAATACCCATCACCTGATAATGACTAGTAAAGTAATACATAAAAATAGATCAACATTATTTCGACTATCCAAATTAAACACATAATACATAAGGAAATATTTACCTCAGCAAAATACAAATCATGTGTCTCATTTGTTATCTCAAGTGGAATCAATTTAACAGATACACTATTGTGTATACCATTCAAGTATGCATTTCCGTATCTAGTATCAGAAATACAATCAAATGGAATCCATTCCAAATAGGCGTCATTTGCCGAGTCAGTTTGTAATTGAGATGTCTGAATAATCACATCAAGTTCCTCATTATTGCTTGTCCATCCATCAGATAATTCTTTGTGACCGCAAATGCACCACACGGGACTACATCGAAGTATTCCACATGCAGTACAGAATCCGTAAAGAGAATAGAAATGATGAAAGGGTTTATCAGCAACCATGTAATAGTTGCCATTATACTTGGTAAAACCCCTAATTAGTTCATTGCGACGTTTAAGCCATTTTTGTATCTTCTGAACCGATTATTGTCCTTATTTTCGTACATGTGCGTCGGAAGTGAGTATATCCTAGCAAAATCACTCACAGACGTTTGTGTACATTCTTCGTTACTTCCAAGAAATAGCAACACTATCGCCGTTTTATAAATAGTACCATTATTCCGCCTTCGCTTGCGAATAGCGTATTGGATGTTGTCAATTTGACTCGGCTCTATTTCAGCGATTTCCGAGTCAGAAATCCATTCAAGTTCTAAGGATTGAACCAGGTTGTCCATTGCCTAATTATTAACAGCTAACGACATAGTTTGAATTAAAAAGTTTTCCGTGCAAGAAATGTATGGTGAGTGCGCAGAGTCTGCATTAATACAGTAGTACAAATGTTGTACTAAATTTACACTTATGGAACAAACAGTATGGTGTTTATCGTACACTTTTCAGTTTCGATCATTAATGGGTGTCCTTAACTTACACCCCCTAGTGTACGAACGGATTAATGTATAGAGCAGCTTAATTGACTTATTAATTGGACTTCAACCAGGTCAACGGAGTGCGTTCTTATTCATAAAGCAGCGACTATTTGAATGTTACATTCTGTCAATGAAATGCGCAGAGAGTTCGAGATATTTGAACAATAAAATTATTCTAATAAATCAGACATCTTTTGAATAAGGTTACCTTTAATAATACAGATACTTGTGATAATAGTTAACTTGTGACCAACCCTCACAATCGATATGTCTCCCGTATAGTCAATAAAAACACTGTATGCGCAACATATCCAAGAACTTGACATAGTGATAAGACAAAACTGAAGCAGAAAACCAATTAAGTGTACGCATTATTCTATAAGCTACAATATAAATAGAACCGCAGTGAAAGAATTTGCATTAAGCTTAAAGTTTACTAACGAATCCAGTATGTAACGTTCGAATATTCGCTGCCTTATGAATAAGAAAACGCATTCCAGTTGACCTGAGTTACTAGTCTCTGCAGTCCAATTGATAAGTTGATTAAGCTGTTAATCCGTTCGTACACCTGGGGGTACACAGACTTAACTTACACCCCCAGGTGTACGATTTTAACCGGGGTGTACGGAATAAGTTACATCTCGGGTGTACGCAAATAATCGTACACACTCAGGGGTAAGGAGACCCATCATTAATAACCTTTTTAAGAAATAGTATAACAGACTTAGAGTGAGACAAATCTCGTTCACAGAACCTAAATGCGATGTTATGGCCTCTTTGGAAAGTGTGAGTATAGGGTTGCGGACGATTACGAATAATTACGGGTAACTTTTGATGAAGAACTTCGGGCAAGTGACAGGTGAGAATGAGCATGAGTGTGAGAAGAAATAAGCAGGGAATGAGAGAGTGAGACAGTACTTGTGAAATGGTAAAAGTGTGAGCGATCAGAAGAGAATGGGAGTGAAAGAAAAGTGATTAAGAGAAGTTTGAGTGGTTGAGAAAAAGCGCAAAGTGAAAGATATGAAAGGGAATTAGAAATAAAATCGTGTACGTTTACTTTGCATCCAAATATGTAAGAAGTATAGTGCATATCATTAATTGGGAGGTGAGGGAATTTTGTAAAATAGTAAACATTGAAATAGTGGATTGAAAGAGGGTGAGTGAGAGCAGTAGGGTGAGTTTGAAAAAGATCGAAAGAAAGACTGGGAGTTTCAAAACGCAATTATTGAAGAAAGGAATAACTGCGGGCGATCGGAAAAGAATGAGGAAGTGAAAGGGGAGTGATTGAGAGATGTAGCAGATTGAAAGAGTATAAGGAAATATCCAGAAAAGAATACATTCGGGATATTAAGACAAAATCGTGAGACGCGTTTATTTTGCATCTGAAAGGTGTAAGAAATACGGAAGAGAAGTAGACCCTTGAATAGAACATGATAATTCGTGAATTACAAAATAAAAATAGCATTTGAGTCGCTAAATCGTAAGCAAAAGGATGTTAATATTGTATATCAACTAATTAATAACTACTGTTGTCTTCATATCTGCAACTGAATCAAATTGTAATAAAAATTTGACTTCGTTCAGTAATAGTAGCTAAGAGTATACTAATACTTGAATACTTATTCCTCCTCGAGGCATAATAATAATGGGTGCTACATTATTAAGACATACGATAAACAGTATTCCATATATTTTTGTCAGAATTATCCATTCTCACGTTTTCAATAAGTTCTATAATATCCGACATAATGATACCAAAAGAATATACATCCGACTTTTGGGTAAAATTTCGTGTACGGAAGACGTTTAGTGCAATAAAAAAAAATGGCACCTTGAATGTTTGGATTTGACTTGTGTGCATTCACTGATTGGAAGCCAATATCACATATAAATGGCTCTATCTCCTGTGTACCATGCATAACTATAAAGATTGAAATATACTAATCCTGCATTATAAATGCTAGACACTCTGCAATATTCGACAAATGCTTTAATTTTGTCTTCAGGTCAAGTTGTTAATATTTTGATCCTAATAGGACAAAAGATAATCATTGTTAGCATACTGGACATACAAGAGCAGGAAACAATTATATTATAAAAATACGTCAATTTGTATTCCACTTACTACTCTAACTTACACATATTGGAAATACATGACATTAATTTAACTAACTACTAACTGACTATTCTTCTGAAGTTTCCGATACTTATCTACGTAATTAATTAGTTAGTTCATGGGGGAAACACTCACCCGCATGGCAACATAAACTGCCGCATGGCGTAAAATAGTGTGAATACTCGCCACTTATAGATAATATTAATATTCGTTAATACTCACCGAACCGACCTACACAAACTGGTTAATAATAGTTTCATTAAAAGAGTTTCTTGAGGCATTTGCTTCGGCAATAGAGGCTAGAAAGAAGCCGAAGACTATGCTGCATACAAAGAGAATAATTATAAATGCATCCTAATGAGGTAAATTTTAATAATTTTGTAATTGTCTTCATAGTTATACAGGTATATAATTAACTAATTTTTTTATACAGTGAAACGGAGAAACAATATAAAGTAGTTTGCATAGGACAGCAATTCTCTTCCCCAGCAAGATTGCATTATGTTCGTTCAATATAATGAAGAAAATGCACCTGCAATCAAATGAATTTCGTCGGAATACCTTGCAGACACATTATTCCAACATCACTTTTTCTGAATAGGTGGTGCAAGGACCCCAACAAAAATACCCTGGTTCAACATTACACGTCCTTTTATAATAGCAGGTGTGCTTCGGCGGCTAGAGGAGAAAATTTTCAGGCAGAAGTTGATTCACAAAATAATCAAGAGTATCAACTATTCGTTTTGAATCAGACATTAAAAAAAATTGAACATTTGCAGCCTGGAGTTGCGAACTTTTTTAATACAAAGTTGGAAGAAGTTCTGCAAAACACTAGATCAGTGGTGAAACTGTCAGCGCATACGTCTCCTACAACATATAACCCGTTTATAATTAAAACAAAAGGCTGTTTATCAAAACGTGCTGTAACACAAAGGCAGAGTTTAGGCACACAAAAACGTATGCCTGTGTGAGCAGAACGGTTAAGTGAGCTATTCCCTAACGATATTATGGCACAAAACAAAATTCTTACCGTTTCTGCACAGGTTAGTGATAAAATATAAAAAAAAAATTTATTAAAACAGATGATGAGTGGCGCTTTTCCAATAAGCCTTTTAAATTTGTGAGGCTCTACCTGTGGGGCTTCCTATTCAATGTGATATTTTAGATTCAACTCTAAAATCACAAGGTTGCTCTGGGTATTCGATGCCTGCTAGTCCCGAATTCAACTTCGCCAACGCATGGGGATACTCTGGTTTTGTCTTGCAAGTTTTAAAAGCTTATATGTAGAAAACAGAGTTACCTCCAATGCGTAGGCCACGCAGAGATGGTAACTTTGTATATAACTCTTGATGATACGAGCTCGTAATTTATTATTACAGACTATTTATATATTTTTAAAAAAGCTAATATAATAATTTTTGCGCCAGTTTGATGTTGCTTTCGAAGGTGTATATAGCCTTTGTGATATAGAAGTGGCAAAAGAAGTTGAACAGATTAATAACGAACAAATCAAGAATAATATGAGGGAAATGAAAAGAAAACTTAAGGTAATAAATATTAGATTTTCTTATTATTATAGCTTTGTCAGAGTTATATTCGTGTGAATACTTACATCTAAATCTGAAATATTATTTTAGGGGAAATCATCACCACTCGCTATAGAAATTTATAATTATTTAGATAAAGTTGAAGTTGATAATTTAGGATGGTGGGATCCGTTCGCCAGCCAAGTAATTAGTGATGATTCAGATTTGGTGCTGAATTTACCCAGAAATGTTTATCACAATTTTATGGAACCGTTACGTCGTATGAAAATTAAAGCACCGTTCAGTATTAAGGAAATACGTTACGCATTTGTAGAAGGTTTCGATAAAGATAAACCCGAAATTTTACAACCAAAATGGCATCATAATTGCACTTGGAGAGAAACAAACGAAGAATTGGCTGTTATAACAACTGGAATTTTAGAATCTTTAAACATTATCTGGAGAAACCCTGCATTTGAAGCTCAATATGCGAAAACACAAAGTGAAGGAACTTATGTAACGGATGTAATTATTCCTTTGTTTCACATGGCATTAAAAAAACTTCCAATTAAGAATAATGCCTTTATTAGCACGTAAGATTTTTTTCTTATAGTTATACGTATTACTATTATATTTTTTTTTCTAGTCTTATAATTTATTTTTAATTTAGTGCGGAACGTCAAAGTAAAGCCAGTGCCGATAGAAAAGGGGGTGGAAAACAGGGTAAACGTCCAGATATAATGTTTATAGAAGAACATAGAGGTAAGTTATACGAGCTCATATTTGTAGAATGTTCCCCCTAGTATGTCCTGAGCAAAAAAAAGATAACGATAACGTAAAACTATGGCGGGAAATGAACGATGGACTTTACTGGGTTTATAGTGGATGTAGACCTGATAAAAATGAATTTAGTATCATCGGAATTCAGATAGTTGGGGATACGTTGCATTTTAATAATATTATTAAGGATATGGAAGATATCCACCGGCTTTATCATTTATTTTCGGTTAAAATTCCCATACGTCCAACCGGGCGCGAAGAAGTATTCCAATTTATAGAGGCTCTTTTAAATTTGAGAAATATTACAATTACAAACATGTCGCTATTATATCATTCTTCCGAAGCTAGATCTCAAAGACTTAGAAAGCGAAGTTCAACAATATCTTCCGATAATTAATAATTATTCTGGGTATTTTGTAATCTTACCTTATATTTTTGTCTTTTATTTTATTTCTCATATATCAATAAAGCCGACCCTGAATTATCATATATAATTATATCGATATGCTTTGTTAATGCGATTATTGTTTCTGATTGGGCACATGATCAAGGGACTAGTCGCACATCCTTAGTTTAGGCTCGGCATTTAGCCGGCTTACGCCGAAGAGCCATTTCTTTGAAATAAAACGCGGGACGTCTGTTTCCGAACTAGTGCAACAAGAAAAGGGTCAGAAATTGCAGAACGTCACTAAAGATTTTTTTCACCCGCAACTGCGGAACTCAAGTCATTAAAATCTGCTTTAATTAATCGATGTGTTAGTTAAAAAAGTAATAAGTTGAAAGCAGTTCATCGAGCTCTAATAAAGCAGAAAATATTGACTATTGCGGATGGTTTATCAGGTAAAAGGCATGTCGGGCTAGGAGATGTTCTCGGATGACAACTTTTGTCGAATACATAATTATTCGTTTATAATTTTTAGAAGCTAATATCATGTGACAGCGAAAGAATAAATTTTTTCTCAAAAATAAACACCGAGTTTTGAGGGAGAACGGAGTTCGAGCGGGCTATCACGATATCGTGATATAAAATCGGTGCTGAAAAATTGTTGTACGAATTCCCCAAATTGGAAATCCACTTGGTTAGCGCGGTTTGGGAAAAGTATAAGATCTTCAAGGATCTGCAACATCAGTAATCCGTAAAGGTAAGGATAAACAGTTTATACTCGAAATGGGAGATCACGGGTTACGCCCGAAACCATTATAGCGATAAATAATAAAGTAGAAGTTACCGGCATAATGTCATTATCATTAAGACCATCTTATTTTACGAAGATTAAATAGGTCAAACAAAAGCCAAATTTTAGCGCAATTTTTATAATGAGCAACTACCATACCAAGAATGTTATTCAGAACTGTGTATTTACGTAGACATTAACGCTCCCAATACGATGACAACGATTTCAAAAGTACAGTAAATTAACTTCTGTATTCAGGTATAAATATCTATATTTACACGAGAGATACTTTAGTTTGGCATTTACATAAGAATAAGTTGTTCTTGATTGGATACGTTACAATTTATTTTCTATTTTTGCGTTTACTATTTATAGACTATAGCATTACGCTTCTGACCAATTATTTCTTATCTTAAAAAAAGTTCTTGGTCCATTCAGACAATCCTAACGCATCACCGCGTATTGAAATTGACATTTATTTGCTTGTATATTTCTACGAATCGATCTATCTCGACAATCCATGTGTCTTTGTAAGACCTCTACACATAATTAATTTACAATAAAAACAAATTACCTCAGACTTCTATATTAGCAATTGAGCAACAAAATATACTTTTCTACACAATTTTGTTTCCGAAAAGTTTTATACCCCGCTAATGTATCGTTTGTTATAATCATTGAAATAAAGACAATTCATTTCCGTTCAGATCTGTAAACTTTTACTTCTCCTTTGGTACAATCAATGAATACCTCTCTGATCAATAAAACAGGTCGGCTGGGGAATGGGCCAATAATGGTTAATAACCATTAAGGACCTACCATATGTATGCTTGTTAGCGACAAGTATAGGATAAATTCCATGTTAGGTTTGGTCACATTCCCGTATTCTGCCTTACGCCTTGACACATTAGACTAAGACTAAATTGGTAATAGGTGACAACATCAACAGCCTTATACGTATTATCCACATGTGATCACCTAAAAATAAATGCGTAATTTGGAGAACAATCAAAACTCGCCCCCAAATTAAGCAAGCACAACAGAGCGAACAATGCGTCTATTCATTTGACGCTATTTTTGAACGTTACATTAACGCCAAGTATTAGGATTATTTGCAATTATTTAGCCCCTTGAGTGTTCAAGTATGTTAAAGCAAGCGAAAGATTGTTCGTAAAAATAACAGCGTATGATTTCGTCATCCTGAAACCATGCACGTGCGACAAATTACCTTTTTCTCCTGAATTTTACCGACACAAGGAAAACGATTTGTTACACAAAATGATGTACGGATTTTCTATTTATTTCTCTGTGAATATCAGCAAATCAAACAATTAAAAAGTGTGGGGGAACGTCACAACTAGTGCAAATATTAATATCAATTTGCACATTGTTGATCTGATGATTTTGTAACCAGTTACACGAATTAAAAATCGAACTATATTTGAATGTTTGTAAGTTTCTCGTCTAGCAGAAAGTTGTTTATGTTATGAATGTTGTCGTAAACGTTCAGGTTATAGAACCAATTGATGTTCGCACACACCATATTAGAAAGTAAAGTTTATTAATTCAAAAGTTACTTGACATTGAGTTTTTGTCTGACTCGAATCGGACTGAATCAAGAACGCTATCGCCACCTCGATACAATTTTTAGAACAATTACAATGTCGTGTCAACGTCAGATTATAAATAGCTTAATACGGTTTGCTAATAATAGCATTTTCATTGTTTTTCTCACAAACCGTCGTCACACCCATAACGCCAAAACGACAACACAATATTACTTGCATAAAAAAACGCAGCCACCGAAAAACATATTTAAACGCAACCAAGTTTGCTTTCCTAATTTCTTCAGCGAGCAATCTCTTAGCTTGTTAAATATACAACTTTACGTTATTCATTACCTATAAAGTCTCTTTTGCAATCCAATTACTATTCAATTATCGTCAAAAATGGCTGCCGCAAACAAAATTTTGATGCTTATCGTTATTATTGCTGTCTTGTTTGGAACTTTGGCAACGTCCAAACCAATTCCGGGCCTTGACGAAAGAACACTACCAGTTCTCCATGTTTCTGCGCCTCGATCTGGTTTCTTTTGGGCTATTAAGTCGTTGCAAAATGTCAGCTGGTGGTGCGACAAATGCAAACCCACAGGTACAAACGTTTACGTTTTGTCTGATAAGCTATTGATTTCTTTTCCTTGAAAATAGCCAGTTAACAATTATTTACTATTTGCATAACAGATGGTGTAAAGATTAATATCAAGTGCAATGGTAAATCGGTATATTCTACGACTGTAAGTATAAATCAAGTCAAATTGACGCAAAAGTAAAATCTTAATACTAATTAATTTAATGACATTTTACAGGGTACTAATGCTTATACTGGCCAAAAGGACGTTAAAATTGATCCAAAATGGGCGGTTGAAGGCGCTAGTTGTGCAGTTAAAGTTTCTCTCAGCGGTAATTCTCACGTTTTTGGAATAAGCACGCCAGTCATTATTGTTAAAACTCAAGAATAATATTAGATATATCATTAGACTTATTCTGTTACTTACACGTTGTTCTAATAATTATGAATGTTAATTTATGATGTCATGTCTTTATTAATATATAATAAACTTTAACATATATTCAATATTGATTAAACGTGTCGTGAACCTGCTATCAGCTGCTGTTATATTTGCTTACGTAACCTGAAGTATCTTCCGTACAAAAAAGGTTGTCTTTATTACAGCAATAGTGTAAATACAAACCTTACGAATACCAATTTACGCATAAATAATATAATTAACAAGTTATTTAAAATATTGTTTGTTGTTTAAAACCGTGTCACAATCTCTGAATATTTTGGCATTGCAATACTATGTATACCATATCTTATATGGTATACGTTGTATAAAAAATTTTAAACAAACTTGTTAGCCACACCGCTGGTCATATTGCTTGACCGCGTAATGTAAACTCTTCTTGTTCAACAACTTGAAAGCAGTAGTATTATTCGCTGAAGTTTATAATTATGACATTTGCATACGCATAAAGAAATATCATCCACAGCTTAATGGTTTGGTGGTATAATGGACTGACCGTCAGAAACGTCATACTGGTGGCTAAATTTCTTGACGAGGAGACTGCAAAACGTCGTTTATGCAGCATAAACTTTTGTAAAAAAACCGGTTTGTTTAACAAAGTTTCTAAAAGCGAATTATTTATTTATCAACAGTTCAGACATTTCAGGTCAAACGAAGTGAACTTAAACTGTGTAAGTTTTATTCAACGGCCGGTGCTGCAAATATAATGTACAAGTATGTTTGTTTTGCTTGCTGACCCGTAAAAACAAAATAATCACATCACCGAACAGATACTGGTGACATTGACTTGAGATTATCGCTCAAGGGTGGGGGTGCTCTTATCAACTTACCATATCTTGGTAAATTTGGCCGATAAGCTGGATTGATAATTTAGTTAGTAACGTGTGTCAAATCATATTGCGCTTTCGATTGTCAAATCTGATTGGGACCCCTAAGGAAGTGGTTGGTTATACGTGTTACACAATTGAAATCGTTTAACGTACTCTAATTAACATAAAGTACATTTTCATCGCCAACATTTCCTGCATGAACTTACCGTTTATGACATATTCTTGATAATTATTCGTTCTTCATGTTCTTCATTTCCTAAATTATTTTTCGCATTAACCAACAAATACCGATATATCGTAATTTTTTGTGTAGATCTTTCGGGGAATTTTATATCTATATACTTGATACTTGACTATACCCACCCACCACCCAGCTTGAAGGAATATATTTATGCATTTTATCCTCGTCTTATTTCGTTTCTTATTTTTTTTATTTCGACATCCTATTTTGTACATGGTCATAATCAGTCATTTTCTATCATCATCGTTTGTCATACATTCCCGCATGTCTTCGTTGCACAGTCCTCATTTAAAATTAAACGTGTGAGATAAAACGGATATGACTCACATGAGTAAAAACCATATATATATCTCCTCTCATTTTGCATAAACTATAAAGTATAACATACCGTTACAATCCATTACACTATTCTCCTAGTAAAATAATAATAAACAATAATCCATTTGTCAGTTTGAAAGAAAATAATGTCTCAAGTCCTCGATATATTTACCGTCGATTCTCTTCAAGAAAACGAAATGCTTTTTTATAACGTTACTAATTCATGGTCTATTAATGACCATCGATTTATGTCATCTTTACCTCCAATTCCATCATCTGAAATACCACTTTCCCAGACTTATGATTCTTCAAATACCACATATCGGCGTCCTTCCGATGAACTACAAAAAGTATTACGCTTACTTTATGAAGAGGATTACGCTCAATTTCCATGCGTTCCCTGTTCTTATTGTTCACGTTTATTATACCCGCAATCTGCAAAATGGGTAATCAGAAATAACGACACTACTTATCCTTTACAAACGTCTTTTCAAATAAATCTTACTACTAATCCACGCAACTCGGCAAAAATTGCAATTTGCGACGGATGCAAATCAAATCCTAATGATCGAACATGCTTTATGCTTGCTTCAATACCTCAATGTATCCATGACGTACCATATTCAAAAGAAAATATCTTTCTCCTATTTACTTACATACCAGTTTAGGTCGTTCCACTGGTGCAAATTCTTTTGTGGAATATCGATCGCTTGTCGGTCAAATGGGTTATTCCAAAAACAGAAGAACATTTTCACTCTATTCGGGCATTATTGGCGCATTTCTGCAAAATGCCGATTTGTCTTCTCCTAACAATTGTTGGTATTATCCATCCTTGCGTTACGCTTGTGACTGGCTGCAACAAAATAATCCTTATTTATCCGCTTATCATTCTATTGCTTCGCGTTTGCTTGCGCATAATTCCCAAACATCTCCTACTGTCTGGCTTCAAGCAAACCATGTTTCAGAAAATGATTTCATTCCTCCTACCGTACACCCGTCGGATATAGTCGTGCCTCCATACGTCTTACCCGACGAAATACATAACGAGGATGCCCATTACTCTCGTTTAGCAATAGGATTTTTTCAAGACGAAAATGAACGCCAAATACCACTGCGCTTTAATGATCCCGAACTAGAAGCTATCTTATTCCCTGATCTGTTCCCAGACGGTCGTGGATTTTATGGTGATATATGCAATCATTCAAACTCTAATAATATAACTATAACATATGGCAAATATATTAAATCCCGATTAATGGGATATGATCCACGATTTCGCCTTCATCCCGTGTGGATGATGCGGTCGTATATGCAACTGGAAAAGCTTCGAAACTTCCAAAATACTGCACGCATATATCGTCAACGTCATTTTGATTCTACATATTCTTCCCCTTCCGCTACACAATGGTTGCGCAAAAGTCATTATACCAACCAAATGACCATAGACGAAGAAAGATCAATGCCTTTGCCGACTTTTATTCGTACCGGTGATTCTTACTTCAAAGAAAAGGGGCATCACCTAAACACTATGGTAAAGGTAAAAGGTTTGCTTACTTTGTTCATAACTCTATCTATGGCCGAAACTAAATGGAGCCATCTGACTGAAATACTCCGCACACTGATAATGGTGACACAAATCCTACAAATCGCCCTTTTCATGTATGCATGTATTTCATGCAACGTTACCGTTCACTAAAAAAAAGATTATGAAACAATAAACGTCTTAGTGGATGGAAATCTATCCGAGAATTTTTCGAACGTGTAGAATTCCAAAATCGTGGTGCCGCTCACTTGCATATAGTGCTCTGGACAGAGGCTACAATCGAAGAAATGATTGCCTCCGATGAAATACGTAGCACCATTCCCGACCCTGAAAATGAACCGGAACTATATGCAAAAGTACGTGCACATCAGATACATACATGCCGACCTCATTTATGTGGAGGTCCTCCTCCCGTTGGAGAACAATGTAAACGCCATTTTCCTAGACCGCTTGCTGCTGTAACATATCATGACCCGACATTTTTTCGTTACGTATACAAAGCAATTACAGAGGAGGATAGGTGGGTTGTCCCATATCATGCGCCTACATTAATTGCTTGGAATGCTCATTCAAACATGCAATATGTCACAAATAAAGGATTTGCTCGATATATGACAAAATACATATCAAAAGCCGAACCAAGTCATGTTTTTAATATTAGGGAGAATGATCGATATTATCAACATGTACTCGGTAGAAGATTGGGTGCTATGGAAGCTATATTCTTGATAACAGGAGAAACCATTTGTAATTCTTCTGCTACGGTAAATTTTCTGCCAACAGACCCTCCTGAATTCCGATCAAAAACAATATTACCTATTGCAAATTTATTAGAAAACCCTGACAACCCTTACTACGTCGATGCTATTGAGAAATATTTCCGTCGACCATATGGCGAAGAATTTAATAATCTAACATATGAACAATACTATCAACTATATGAAATACGCACGCCTAATAGCACTGTTACAACAAGAGCAACAAGAGATCTTGATAACAGAATAATAGTTAAAAGAAAAAAGCCGATTTTGACACGCACACGTTTTACCAAATTAAGTGACGGGGAAACTTTTTTTTATTATCGACTATTGCAAACAAACTCTTGGAGATCAGAACGTGAAATATTAGGTTCTTTCCACTATTATCGAGATCATTACTTTTCCATGTACCCGGATGAAGCCCATACAATACGTGAAGAAACACGTTCATACATATCCCAATTGACAACACACCTTGAGCATCAGTTTTCATGTATAATTGATTCCCATTTACAATCCTTACAACAACAAATGGCCCTTACCAATGTTGATATTATTAAGTTTTAATTAAATGTGTTAAAAAGGCTACCGCATATTGCCCCATCCATAACTGGCACAAATTTACCACGAGATCAATATAAAGCTATCACTGTACTGTCAAACATGATGGGATCCCGAACCAACCAATGGCCTTATTATTTTTTAACGGGATCTGCTGGCACTGGGAAATCCTTTGTTATACGCCAATTTCGCATCCACCTGCAACAAAAAAGGAAGAAATACATGGTATTAGCTCCCACTGGTGTAGCGGCACAAAATATTGATGGCATGACAATCCATTCTGCCTTGAAAATTTCATCTACAACCATGAATACCGGGTCATCATACCAAACCCTAATCTTCAATAACGCATCCCTTCTGAGAGAAATGCGGAGTATTCAAACACTCATTATAGATGAAATATCAATGGTATCCGCAAGCCTATTCACATTTATCTCTGATACATTCGCTAGACTACACAACAATCACAGACCTTTTGGTGGCATAAACGTTTTAGTGACGGGTGACTTATGTCAATTACCCCCTGTTCAAGGAACAGCTGTTTTCCATTCTTCAGTATGGCAATTATTCTACCCCCTCTTTTTGCGCAAGTCTCAACGACAACTCAACGATAACCAGTATTTTAACCTCCTAGAAGAAGTACGTCTTGGGAGAATATCTGAGACTTCATGGCAAATGTT